GCCACTAAAGTGCCATACCGAAGCGTGGCCAATTCATGACTTTTCTCCCCCCCCCCCCATTCAGAATAATAATGAACAACAAAAAAACAAATCTTCGTGTGACAAATCCAAGAACGAATGAAATTAAACGATAATTTCAAACGCTTTGAATTACGAGCACTAAATTGACCTGCAGCGAATATGAATCGAGTAGAAATAAGAATCAAATCATAAAAAATCAATATCAATTTACTCAAAACCTTCACCGTTTAATTGGCAAAAGATGGCAAAATTTCTCTGCGGTTAATTGGTATTTTCATTCCATCGAATTCGATTCCTGGATTGCGCGGAAATTCAATTTTCCACAGAATTTGTTTCGATTGAAAAGAAGTGCTTCTTTAGCTATTCAGCTGAATTGCGTTATTGCTTCTTGACTCGCTTAGATTAACTCTTGTGACTATAATTTCTGCGTAGTCAACGATGTGCAAGACATTTTCCCCACTTGAATCTTCATTAAACGATGGGATTGAACGGATTTTTGCGGAAATGTACTTAAACTGCATCACATTTCCGGTGATTGACGAACGTACAGCTCATGAATAATCAGCCCATCACTATGGCTACCTTTGGCTAAGACTTGTTGCCTACATTGAAACATCGTTCACAATTCAGTTTAATTTGTAATTTAATTTGACCAGTGACGAGCGAGTCATACCTTTTTTTATCATTCTATCTCTTTGCTTTCCTCTCGACTTTCCGTTTCTCTGTCTTTCTCTATCTTCTTCTCCCTTTCTTTATCTTCCCTTTCCCTCTCTGATCGTCCTTGCACTTCCTCTCACTCCAATTTGTTGCTCTACATTTGAATAAATCACCCCAACACTTTCGTTCATCACACGCCAATGAGATAATCATGATTTCACTGACGTCAATGCCATAAAAACGTTTTTTCTCTCTTTCTCCCTGCAGCCCATTAGAAATGTGCACATAATTTCTGTTTTTCCGCATTTCATTTTTGTTATACTGTTTGTGTTTCATCGCCAGCAGTAAAATCTAATCGGCTTTTTGAATGCAATCACTAGCAATCAGATGATAACCCTGGATAATCCAATCAGAAATGTTTGTATTGAATTTTTTGTTGGTGACGCATTCGTTGGGGTTAGTCGCTAGTCGTTGCGACTAAATAAGCGAGAGTTTAGCGATGCACGAAAAGTACCTGGCGATGATCATGGCCATAAATCTTGATTTATGAGCTTGTTCTCCCGTTTTGCTCGGTCTACCTTTCACTTTTCATCTCTATTTTTCAATCTATTTTTCCCTTTCACTCACTCATTACCTCCCAACCTTTTCCCCTTCGTCTCTCCCTTCGTCTAACTCATTGCCTCTCTTACCCAGTTGCTCGTTTGCAAACCCTATATCAAACACACATATTCGCTGACACTTTAAGCCATTTGGAGAAATTGGTCGAGTGCTAAGCTTTTGTTAGCTTTAAATACAAAATGAAATCATTTACAAATGGATTTGATTTGGTTGTTGTTGTTTTTTTTTTCCATTCTCGTTTGTTTTGTTTTCGGTATTATTCGTTCTTTTGTGCGTCGTTACGTTGGTTTTGTTCATTTTCCCAACTTCTAACAAATAATTCGCTTAATCCGTGTTCGCTGCTCCACAAATTATTCGACGAAACAAACAGAAAAAAAAAATGCAAAAAAGTAAAGCCATTAAAAAGTTTTTTTTTTCTAACGAAAATGAGTATGAGAAAAAGTCGCCACGCCATTTCATTTTCGGTGCTGGTGCTGGTGGTTGGTTTCTTTTTTGTGTTTCGCATTATTTTTTCTCTGTGTTTCATTTCGCTCTCCCCGCTCGTCCATATCATGTTTGTAATGTTGAGTTATGTTGACACAACACGAACAAATTTAAATAGAAATAATCGTAAAAAAAGGCAACAGCAGCAGCTCAGCAAATAGAAAGAATCGCTCTCTGGATACGAATTGGAAATTCGTGCATCAACGCTATATTATATAGAGGTCGCGCGCATATTTGGATACACTCTCTGCGAGCGTTCGAGTGTTTGTGTGTGTATGTGTGACTTACCATGAGCATTGATGAAAGTAAATTGAGCTCACATTTCCACCCGAATACGCTAATTAGCCACAACATTGTGTTAATGTCATAAATACAAATGAAACACGATTGTACAAAACAATCATGGCACATGTGAGAGAGTTTTGCTTGCTTTTTTCTCTCTCTCTCTCTTTCCCATTTTCTAGAAATATTCCGCTGCAATCGAAAGAAAAAAATATGGTGAAACATGTTTTTCGAAATGATTTTACGCCGGATTCGGTATACTTTTCATTATGCGAAGCAATTTTTCAAACAAGTTTTCCGTATATCGATTGAATTGTCGGCCGACAACTTCAGCATGAATTTCTCACCAGAATTTCTTCAAACAAAATGCGTTCCGGGATGTTTATCAGGATGTTAGGGCTTTGGTGTGTGTGTGTGGGTGTTTGCGAAACGAATTTTCGACTTAAAATTCACATTTGCCACGAGAACGTGGATGCGGTGTGTGTTGAGACCCGATTGCAGTTTGTGTGACATAGCAATAGCTACCAAAATGTTTGCCATCATCGTTTGCCTGAGCAAACAGACCTTGCATTTTGAAAATGTGCACAAGCCATGCGTTTTTCGGTTGCTGCCTTCGACAAAAAGCCATGCATTTTCTACCATGCCAGACCACATTTGGTTTTATACTGGAAGGGATTTTTGTGTGAGCATTAATCGGCTTCACAAATTTTGCTACGCTTCGTTCTTTTCGGGCGCTTTTTTGTGCATTTCTCTTTAAATTCGTTCTTTTTTTTTCTTCTCACTGTTCTGTTTCTATTCCTCCTTTCTTTCTTCCTCTGTGCCTCTCACTCTATCTTTGCTTCTGTCGCTTTACCATCCCTTTCATCTCCTCTCGATCTTCGTTATCTCTTCTGGTTGGAAATTTCAACTTGAAATTGTTTCTTTTCCATCTAAATTTCAATATTCCGCGGTGGAATTTCCGCGTTGAAGCACATCCCATTCCCTTTTCTCTTTCACTCACTCTCACTCTTACTCCCTCTCTGTCACTCTCACTCTCACCCTCCTATTCTCTCTCTCTCTCTCTCTCTCCGTTTCATTTTTATCCAAAAACTTTGGTCCGTAATTAGCTAAAGTTTAAAGCTTGGCAACTTCTTAAAATGCTTACCGCTCGAAGTAAATAATTGAGCGGGTGGGTGGATGAGTGCGTGCAGCACTTAGTTACGTACAATGTGTGTCGCGTACTCGCGCTATATCATAATTATTTTCAAACATTCGCGTTGATTTAAAGACCCATCGAAAGGAAAATTCTAATTAAAAGTGGCCGACACACACACACACACACACACACCAAACAATACAATAATCACCCGGGTCATTTGCATACACAACAACTGCACACGCTGCACAAAAACGTAACGGAAAATGTCCGTTAATCTGTATAAAATAGAAGTTCCGCAATAACAAAGGCATGCTGGGTGGCGAGAAGTGTGACAAGAGGGACAATGTGTCCGAATGTGTTTGACTTTGTGCGGTGATTTTCTACCACAAAATATCCCTAATCTCTAGCTATTTGCTGGTATGACGCTGTCATCATTACAATCGACTCACTATTTGTTATTCTTGCTCTTTCACTTCGTACCTTCTACTCTTCTACTCTCTCGGTAGCCCCCTTTTTGCGTACATATAACGTAGCTTATGCATTTTAATTTAAAAACTATAGATGGCGAGGCAACTGATACCGACCGAATCATATTACGGGTTGAATGTTTTTCTCCGCGTGATTACACGCGTTCCACATTATTATTGCAGCAAAGAGAGAAAAAACCCGACTTGCTTCTTTATTACTTTTAATTTTGATACATTTTTTAACACTACTTTGTGCTACCTTTGCCATTTGTTGCGTCGGTGCCAGCGAATGATCGCTACTACTGTCGTCGCCACCACCACCGTTGTTTTATATTTTTTTCCAACTGCAAAGTACAGCCTGACACGTCAACAATTTTCCATACTTTTGTTGTATTTTTTCGCCTGCAATTTGCGTTTGTAGCTCTTTTTTTGCCCCGTACTCTTGTCAAATCAACGCATGCTGCTACTTTTCATCCGCCTCATACCAAGAAATGTGCCCTCTAAATGGCTTTGGTTGCGTGTATTTTTTCTATTAAATGTTGAAAATACCTGCTTATTACATTGTCCAGTTTTTTTTTTGTGTTGTTGTTGGTTCGTTCGTTATTGTTATTACAAATCGTCGTATATCATTGCATACATCATATAGCGTATATAGTATGTGCACCATTTTACAGGAACTGGTTTAGTGCGGACAAAGAAGGAAATTAGACGAAAAAAAAAAATTCTGAAAAAATGAACGGAAAAAATTGAATAGAGCTGGGTTTTCGTTGATTTTTTTCCATTGCACACGTTGCATACCCGTGCAAAAGAATAGCGCGCGCGAGAAATGCATTCTAAGTGGAGCAACGGATAAATAACCTTTCGTCAACAATCATTTACACACATTGTGTGTGTGAGTGTGTTGTTTTTTCTGTTGCCTCAAATAATTTATTTTGTTGAGCGCGCGTTTCATGCGAATAATGCAATGCTCAAGCAGAGGATTTCGTTCTGCTTCTGCAACATTTGTGTCATCCACGAAAATATTAAACCATCCGAATAATTCATACATTGTACCAACTCAGCAACTTTAGCTGCAATTTCAGCATGAAAATTTTCAGCATTTTTTTTTTTTTTGAACGAGTTTGTGTGTTTTTTCCACTCTGTTCCTCTTGAAGATTCATGAATCTTCTTCTTAATAAATCATAGATAACTTTGTAACTAATCCAATTGTTGTTTTACTAACCAATTCTGTTTTCTTCTCTCTCTCTTCCTTTTTTGTCGTTTGTTCATTTTGAATTCCCTGTCACTTTATGTGCGTGTTTTTGTGTCCATGCCACAATTGCCATCCAATTCAGCGAGGAAAATGTGTGGAAACTATGCGAACAAGTGAAGAAAACCCGTCCGGCTGAACTTTCAAAGTGCTATGCAGTTTTTGTGTCGAACGAAGGCCGAACGGTACCGTTGTGGCGACAAAAAGCTGGACGTGGTGACGATAAAGTTGTTATCTGGGTAAGTTGATTCGTTTGTTGTTTTTTTGTGTTTTTGTTTTCAATTTTTGTTACTGATTAATACGTGGTATTGATTTTTTTTGCATTTTTTTCACTCGGTTTATGAGTCAATTGGTGTCGAAAAACTTGACTACAGTCGATCAATCATGATTGCTCACGAGACGATGAGAGTGTATCGATCTTGAAACGACCATGGGAGTGCATTGATCATCGGTACACTCTTATCATCTACAGAAAACCTATTCACGTATCATAAAATTGAAAAGAAACTCACGTCCAAACAAAATCCGAGATGACAAGAAAATTGACTTAATTTCAAAGCGTGTTATGAGCTAACGTCAGCTACTGAGCTCAGCTGCTGACTCGTATGCGTTGCGTTGTTTTAACGCATTAACAGTATAAAAATGAGATATCCTCCAAACATACCAATGAGAAGATTGAACTGTATACCAATGGGAAGATTGCTGATACTCTCGTTTTTATACTGTAAATGCGTTACAATAATGTAACGAATACGAGTCAGCAGCTGAACTCAACAACTGACGTTAGCTAGTGCTGCTGACGTTAGTCCATAGCACGTTTTGCTAAATTTTTACATTTTATTAGTAAAAAAAATTGTTTCGGCCCAATGGACAATTCAAATTTCCGTTCAAAATCTTCGAAAATGTAAAAGAAAAGAAACAAGAATGAATCTTTATTTCGAAACTAATTTTCCAATTTCATTAAAAACTAAGTTGTCAATATTCAACTAAGTTCTTGAATTCAAAACCAAATCATGGGAATTCTCTCATTTTATGATACGAAAATGTTCGAAATTCAAACTTTGTTTCAAACAATTTGATAAAATGTTCAAAGTAATTTTTCGATTAATCGAATAAAAAACCCAGAAAATCCACAAATTTGCGTGATTTTGTCACTTACAGCATCAATCAAGGCAGTTATATGAAGAATCTCTATCATTTTTCTCGAAACATGTTTTTTGCTATATCTCGCGAACCTCCCAACCGATTTTGATAAATAGGGTACCAAAATTTATGGAAAGGTCTCACCTTTCAAGTAATGTAGGTTTCTATCATAATTTTAGAGCTCTAAACCAAATTTCACTGTGATATGTTGATAGGCGCTACCTTAGACCTACCAAAATCGATAACTTTCTTATTCACACGTCTTTCGGAAAAAGTAATGATGCAGAAATGTTTGTTTTGAGGTCCTCTAAAATCGTGCATTCAAAACCCCAATGTGCAAAATAACAACTTTTATTTTGTCACACGGTGTTTTCATCTCTCTCGTTTGGTCTCTTTCTAGAGTCCTTGATTCAACTTTTGGTATGAAGCTATAGATAAAGCTTCAAACCGAAAATGCATCTGCTTTTGAACTTTTGCAAGGACAATTGGCCAAATACTGCCCGACACTGCTAATCGGCATGCCTTTGTTGTGGTTATCTTCATTTTGGCATTAATTTTAATTAAATCGTCTGAAAACGTGTATTTTCAAGCTTTTTTCTAGTAATTTTGATGGCACATTTTCGATGAAACTGCCAGAATCGTTTGCACACTGCACAGTTGAATATTTTCCAATCTCACCCAATCAACCAGACACAATGGTTAAACACTGATTGAACGGCTAATTGGAGAAAATCTACAGTAATTTACAACCAATTTGAATCAAACATAACGAAACAGATAGGGATGATAGCAAATATTTTTGATACTATATGGAAATGCTATGCATTTGCAATCAAATATTTCTAAATTTATGGCCAACTACATTCTATGCATATTTAAATGGGTTAACAGAGCAGGGAATTTACTTTCTGTTTCACCCAGTTCATGAGCGACTTTCATGTTCATGAGCGAGATTCACTGGTCTGAGTCCAAATGACTACATTCCATATGGTTATCAATGTAATTTAACTTTTGTTGTTGCATTGAATTATAAAGAAAGATTTTTTTTTCTAAGAATAGAACAACATTCGTTATTGATTGGTGTCAAACACCGTATTTCATACTCCGATACATGTTAGAACATGACTGGTTTTACTATCTTTAGCAACATTCAGATGTTATAATTTCATAGTTTGCTAATGTTTAGTTTTTTATATTTCATAACTTGCATTTCACTCTTCGCTACGTCCAAAGTTGTACAGAAGATATTTCTCATGAAAATATGTAGATCAGGTCTACAGGTGTATTCTGCCAAGCTTACACCATGGCCTAGACTAAATCCGTATATTGACTTCCTATAAGGAAAATTGAGAGACAGCTTCAACATTTGAGACCACGTAGACATGGTCTTCAGCCAATTTGCGATAATGAGTGATCTAGATTCTGTTGTAGATTTGAACGAAGTTTATGGCAAATTTTAGACCTGATCTACATTTTATCATGAGTTGGTGATTGTAAAATCTTCGTCTAAATCATCGTGTAAATCACGGCAATTTTTCCACTGTGTTTGAAGTATTTTTCATCAATAGCAACATTCAATGTAATTCAGTGTAGACTATACAGAATTTATCGATACTGTTCAAATCTTTCATTTGCTATTTGGACAGCACTTGCTGTGCCCTAGCCGCTCACATTGCATCGCCAAAAGTTATAAACAATCAACAGAATGTACACAATACCACGAGTGATTGGTGCATCCGGTGCTCAAATAGCAAGTGAAAACATAGATGTTCCGATCTGAACGTTATTCAATTTCTTCAACGGCATCGACAAAAGATACCATCTTATTGAAAAAGCTCAATATTTCCCTGCGGCCTCAAAATATATGGCCTCATAAATATAAAGTGTATGAAGCTCTATGCAAAGAATAAACAAGCGTTTTGTTGCCACACATGAAAAGAAATAATTGTTTGTTTGAAGAATAACAACATCGACCAAAAATATGGGTGCTTGTGGTTTGTTTTTCTAACCATTTTTGAACCTCATTTCAAGTTGAAAGTTTGGCAGAAAAAAATTGGAAATGGCACTCCATCGAAATAGAAATAGTGTCCCCGGATAGACTTCGATAGTGAGCACAGACAGTATGTGAGTTATCGAAAGGATAGGTGAGCACTACTTGTCAACCAGATCATAAAGAAACATCAACAACCTCACACTATACATCCATACTGAAGTCAAAATTTACTTACCGCTTACTTCACTTATACGATGGATTTTCAACCATTTTGACAAGCTTCAGGGCTTTTGTTGACGCATTTTCGTGAATTTTTTTCGTTGAAAAGATTGAATATTCTTCATTAGACACAAACCCAAACAAAATCGACATAAAAAATCAGTCTTCTGAAAATTGTGACCGTGTAAGAAGGCTGGTCGTTTAAAAAATTCATTTTGTTAATCAACTTCAAAGTTCAAGATTCATGATTGGACTGTCAGTTTTTAAGTGGATTGTTTCCAAACTTCAAATGACAGTCAAGCAGTGACGGTGAAAATGAAGCAAGGTCTGGTTTTTTCGATTGGTTTTTGTTTGTTGTGAACAACTTGGTTGTTAGTGTGTGTGTGTGGTTTAAACACATGTCTTTCCACATGAGTTCAGCAGGAGCTCATGTTTCCCATGATAAAACAAACAGCTCGTCATTTTTAATGGTACAATTAAGGCGAATCAAGACATTTATTGATTCCATTTGTGAAATTTTCATCGAAAAACCCATTTCAATTTCGGGCAATTCCGCTTCAATTTTCTTTCAATCGAACAGACTGTAATTTTTTTTTCCACCGAGTTTAGCTGCAGCCTGCCATCAAAATTGCTTAAAACCTTCGAGCCTTCCATTTGCTTCCTTTGTGTTCGTCTCTATCTTGGCACCTTTTTCCACATATTCTTCAAATTTATTCAATCATCTTTACTCTTGCCAATCACCTGCTTGTTTATATTTGATGCCACATACCATTTCCCATTCAATCTAGAGTGCTTTTCGGCGGAATGCGGAATGTGTTTCTTCTTTTTCTCGGAATCGGAAGTATAAACAATACACACAATCCCTCACATATTTTGTACATGTCTCGTGAGAATTGTGCAAGTGAAAAAAGCAACCTCTTAGGATGGTTGCAAACGGTATAATTGAAGCGAATTATGCATTGAAAATTGTTCGAATTATACGATGGGATAAATTGAGAGTATGCCGCATTTCATCAGAGTGTATTAAATTTTTCATATGGTGATTCCGTGAATTTTTTGCGTTTTGTTTGGCTTGGTTTGAGTTCTTACCAGGCGATTTGTTGTCAACTCTGCAAAAATACAATCCTCAAACGTCTTTCAGTTCAATCAATGTTCCAAATGGAATATATGATTTTCTACGCATATTTTTTCCAACTCATAACAAAACACCGTTTTGTCCATGGACTTTGTCAAAGTCATGTAGAAATTCTTTATTCTATTCATCATCATATTAATATTCGTATGTGATGCGTCACAAATTCTTTTTCTTCTGACATTGATCTCTCTCGACAAACTTCCATTGTGCAGCAGTTCACATGGAAGAATAAAAGAAGAAAAATCGATTAAGGTGTCATGAGCTTTGGAATGTTTGCTTCTTTCTGCATATTATAATGGTGCAGCGCTTCGAGCACTTGGAATGTAACAACAACGCGACAACTTTTATTCGCTTCTTGTCATGTCAGGACAACAACATGAATGAAGCGAGAGGGAAAGACGGGGAAAAAAGCATCCACATCCAAAAACATTTAAATCAATTTAATATGATTTTGATGTGTGGCTTTTCTTTTTCCCCTCTTTCCTTATCCTTTACTTCTAATTCTTCGTCTTCTTCAGCAACATTTTTATGCTGAATTTATTGTCATTTTATGTAACCGAAATAAAATCTTTCGACAACGATTACGTCCTCGACAGTGCCACAATTTTGACAGTAAATCGAAAACGTTTTATCAAGAAAGAATTGACATAAATGCGACCGACATTTTTGCTTTATTTACCTATCCTTTTCTTCACCTAACCTTCTCTTCACCTACCGTTCTCTCATACTTGTCATTTCGCATCTTGTGG